ATCACCTTCTGTCGACGGGAGTTGCGTTGGCAGAGATGTAGGTTGAAAACTTGGTTGAGGCACGAATGTGGATTGACCAGTGGGCATTTGTTGTGGGGCCGTTGGGCGACACTGTTCAGGCCATACACACTGCTTCATGATAGAATCATAAACAAGTTTTGATGGACAATAACGTATGTGCGCAATACCGCCTATGCAAGTAATATATCGAGAGGCACATCCCAATGAGTAGTCACCATCTGAATGGTGAGCACAGTCGAAAGCAACGTCTGAAACTTTTTGTCATTTGTGAATAATACAAGAGTATGATTGAAATGTGACGATTGTGTAACACCAATCAATTACTGCGACCAAGAGAACAATGTTCATAAGATGTGAATAAAAACCTACCGTTTGCATGTGAAGGTGATGAATCCACCATTGCTGATGCATCCATTGGTCCAGCAGATGCCGTTGGCTGTGTGGTTGCAAATGGACGTGGCGCTATGACGGACATACAAGTATCGCTTGGGTATTCACACTGTCTTGACAACGCATCGAAAAGTAGTCCAGATGGACATTTGAATATCTTCGCTTTTGAATTTGAACATTCAGCGAACACTGTTGAACATGATCCACCATAGAGCCCATCAGGTAAATAAGAACAATCCATTGAACCTTAAAATATTCACAAAAATGCGGAGCCATTTCCTCTGGAACAGAAAAAGAACACAAGAAATAAGAACTTTGATAACAATTTTGAGTCACTTTCAGAAACATCTCACGAAAGTCGAATAACAATCAGAATAAATCAGAATTCCAACTTTGTTGAGTAGTCGTTGGCGTTTCAGTGGTCATACTGACAGGCGATAGCTGATCAGAGGATGGAGTACCTTCACTTTCAACACACTCTTGAGGCCATACGCAGAAACGTCGCCTCTCAGAGAAGACGAGACCTTGAGGGCAAAAGCGTCTTATCAACGTGCCACTTAAGCACGTAACGTATTCAGTGAAACAACCCAACGAGTAATCCCCTGTCGGCAATTTACTGCAATCCACTGCAGATCCTATAAACGTAATTCATTTAAGCATGAACATTTAAGCATGATCATTTACAGTCTCATAGATAGTCACAAGAATAGCACAATCCGACAGTAAGGTTGAATTTTGCGAGCTGTTGAAATTGATAACGAATATGCATATAATTACCAGGCACAGAGTGTGCTTCAGTCTGTGGTGTTTGTGTAGTCTCAATCAAAGATTTCACTGTAGGTTCCAATGAAATTATCGAACTCGATGCTTGATTCTGACACTGAAGCTTCGGGAAATCGCATTTTGAAGACTGGTCATCGAAAACGAGGCCGTTTGGACAAACCATAACGAACGGTTTGCCATTAGAGCATTGCATGAATGTTGGAGAGCAATGCACACCATAAACTCCATCTTTCTGCACTGAACAATCTACTACTGGTGGTTCTGAAAATGATTCACAGTAACCTCTTGAGAACGGCAAATGGCATGCGTACAATTCACTTCATAAAACTTCTGCCTTGAAATTACAGTATCATATAAACGAATCATTACAGTAACATTATTACTACAGAAATTACAGTATTGTATAAAGAAACGAATCATATAAAATTGAATGAGTCACGAAAACTAAGTGAAATAAGCAGAACGCATAACCTTGCTGCTGTTGATGAGCTTCAGTTTGTCCGAGCGTTTGGACACTTTTGGACCACGGCCGGTCAGTATTGCTGTCGGCTGCCACGGATACAGCTAAAGTGGGCATAAAGGCTGGTGCGGTCGAAATTGAACATTCCGATGATGGAAAATCACACGCTAATATCTTCGCATTGAAAAGAAGACCAGACGGGCAGTTCATTGATTGCGGTCGACCGTTTGAACAGTAAATGAATGTATTCGCACAGGGACGGCCGTAAACACCATCTGTTCGAGTTGAACAGTCAATCGGACCTACAATCGCAATGATTACTACAACGCTGGTCATCAGACCTACTCTTAACGAAGATAATTAATACTTTCTAGGCAAAATGCTTCAGACTCTGCTTATAAGAATGCATCGACCGAATGCATACACTGCATAAGCACACAATACACTGAAAGATCCTCTGTTGAATTCCATGAAAACAGATACAATGGTCAACTAGTGCAATAAGCACAATTTCAAATGAGCAACCAAATTACCTGAGTCTATTGGCATTTGAGTGTTTGGCGGTAAGGTAGCTGAAGATTGGGCTACTGAATCGGCGTTAACTGGGGTATCTGTTGCGAACCCGCACTCAGATGAGGGTAGGTCACATACCTTACGATCAGAGTAAAAAACAAGGCCTGATGGACAGTGCTGAATGTGCGTAAGACCGTTTGAACAATGAACGAAGGCTGTAGCACAAGACGTGCCGTATATACCGTCAGCCAACGACTGACAATCTATCACACCTGAAAATTTACTGACTCATAATTATCATCAGCGTATCATCAGCGTAAATAATAACGAACGGCATTGCCACCATCACTGGATTTCAATCAGAATTATTTGCTTTATTTTCGTACCTGATGTTGGGGCAGTCGATTCGGGCACTGCTGGTTCTTGAGGAAGGGGTGAAGTCGCTTGTGACGATGGTGAACTTGGTGATGGAAGACAATTCATGAATGAAGGGTAATCGCACGACCGAGTTTTTGTGCTGAATAAAAGTCCTGGCGGGCACGACATTTTGAAAGTATGACCATTGGCACACTGAACATAGTCAATCGAACAGTCCGAGCCATAGATGCCGTCTGCCTTCATAGAGCACATCTCCGATGAAACTGAAAAATTATGAATGAAAATGAATTCATTAGAAAGAAGTACAGCTTTAGGATTATTGCTATCAGAAGAAGGCAATCTTTCGAAGCTAAACTCTAATCCGCTAACCTCAATCCAACACATCACTTTCGTAAAGCTGATCGCAAATCTATTTTCAAATGCCCAGTTTCTAATTAACAAAAAAGATACTATCATCAAAAATTATTTCAAAATAATTGTTAAAGACAATCAAACCATCGAATCTCCTCTGTTCATCACTCTGCGCATTCGCGTTATTGGACGATGGAGCAACGAACTGATTTTCAGCATTTGATGTTGGTTTCATGACGAATGGTGTGGACTGCTTCGAGCAACGTTTTGACGCGTAAGCACATCTCGCTATCGATGGACTGTACACTGTACCAAATGGACATTTATGGATCGTTGAGATACCGTTCGAGCAAATCACAAACGACGACGAACAATCACCACCATACAAACCATCGCCTAGTTTCGAGCAACGTTTTGACGCGTAAGCACATCTCGCTATCGATGGACTGTACACTGTACCAAATGGACATTTATGGATCGTTGAAATACCATTCGAGCAAATCACAAACGACGACGAACAATCACTACCATACAAACCATCGCCTAGTTTCGAGCAATTGAATAATCCTGAAACCAGCACCGCTTCAAATGTACGGCCTTACTTCCAAAATTTTGTTGTGATTAGATCACATTGTGCAGCTAAACTATATGGGCATGAAAATGGGATGTTTTTCACCATATTTCTTTGGTATCTACTGGCTTGATGGTGAATAGTGGAGCGGCGAAGCAACTGACCAGTCTCATCATCCATAAGCATGCCGAACGATCCATCGGAATGCTGTTGCATCAAACAATCTGCAGATGGTACACAACGTCTTTGTGTTGAGTCATAAACTAATCCATCCTCACATCTACGTTTCACTTGGAAACCATCAACGCAAGACCAGTACTCCGGTGTACATCCCAACGAATAGTCACCATCGCTCATTTTTGAGCAGTCAGTTGAAGGTATTGCTGGAAATTTCTCGTTAACAAATAGTACACTCAGCAACATTTCGAAGACACTGACGTTTTTGAAACAGAGGAAATCTGAAGGAATGAAAACGGATAGCACGGAAAAGCGGATATACCTGCAGATTGCTGACTCTTTTCAGCAGGTGCATTAGATTGATCTTGTTGCACTCCCTTGGATGCACAGTTCATTTCATTTGGATACACACAACGTTTTTTCACACTATCAAACAGTAGATCCGCCGGACACTGTGTCTTGTGCGCTCGACCATTTGAACACAGTGTGAATGAAGGCAAACAACTTGCTCCATAGACTCCATCAGCTTGTTGAGAACAATCCACAGAATCTTAACAAAATCACCCGTTATCAGCACCGTTCACATCACTTTACTTGTCACTGTTCGATTCCAAGACAGTTATCGTAAACTACGATAGCATCAGTGACAAATCCATGATAAAGGATAATGACGAATCATAACAATGACGGTACGGTATTAAAATCAGTGTTGCGGTCATTTTACCTTGTACTTGATCCATAGTCTGTTCAGCGGTAGGAACCGGTGGTTGATTATTAGAAAGAGGTGGGGTAGTTGTGTGCTGAGACACCGCACACTGTTCAGGCCATACACACTGATTAACAAC